TAATATATATATATATAGCAACTACATTGACTACACTTCGCTTTGAGTCGCTTGGGAAACATATCTCAACTCATCTGATCTCCCAATTCCTAAATCTTCAACTTTGAACCACTTCAAACTGACACAATTAATTGATCTCAACAAAATAAATATTTTTATTGTTATTTAGCGCAGAACAAATTCAAACTATAAACAATTGCCGAAGATACAGATACAATTCCCTATATAAATAATAACAATGTTATTTAAGACGTAAACTGTTCCAACTGAAGTAGGCTTTCTACATTTTGTCTCATATTTCCCGAGTCGTTTATTAAATATAATCTCTATAAACAATTAATTTAGCCCCCTACTACAGCCAAATAGCCTATAAACAGAGAGGGAGAGAAAGAGAGAGAGAAAGAGAGTAAAGCCAAGTTGAAATGCTAATGCAGCTGACAGCTGAGGCGCCGCTGCAATTGGAAACCACAAAGCACACACACGCACAGGCACATACACATACACCTACACACACACCCACACACAACTTTATATATACACACCCACATGCATATACATATAACTAAAATCAATGTCATCGCATGCAGAGTTCACTAAGCAAGGACATTTGGACACTGGGCATGCCCCAAAGGGCATGGGCATGAGGCAACTATGGGGCGGGACGGCAGGTACGGGGTAAGGGTAGAGGCTTGGGCATCAATGCTCGATTCGTTTGACATATGCAGCTACTCAGAGACGAAACAACTGGTTTCCAGCTGTGCACAGATATTGTCACTGGATTGGGTTGCAGCGCGAACTAAGAGAGGGAGTGAGAGAGAGAAAGAGAGCATTGCAAGTGCACTGGAAGAAAAACTAAGAGTTATCAGTTTTAATAAGTTAAACAACAGACAAACTAATGAATTTAAGATCTTTTCTCATTTAAGAAATTTGTTTCCCAATTCAATTTTTAAGCTTAGTTTATTTATTTAAAAAAAATTTAATTATTAAGTACATTTTAGGAAAGTAAACAATTCTACAAGAAACCTTTAGCACTCAGACTCAATGCCATATTTCTTTCAGTGTACAACGCTTGTGTGTGTGGGCAGCCAGAGCGAATCGTGTTCGTTCAAGGGCAGAGTGCTCGGTAGCACTCCGCTTTAGGGGCTGCACACTAAAAATAGTTGCACAATGGAGCTGGAGCGATGCTTTAATATCTACGAATTCACCACATCGCGTATACGCAATACAGTATATACGCACTAAAATGGAAACAAGACTCGAAGTAAAATTGTCGTTGAAAATCATTTAAATATCACATTTAGATAAGCTCAGCCAGTTGACAGCGATTTTTCTATAGCAGCCACTTGAAACTACAGTTCACCTTAGCGCTAGTTCACTGTATATGCAATTGAAACTCACCACACACGGTAAACGGCGTGTCCTTGCGCTGTCTCCCTGGTTCCTGTTTGAGCCGCCAGCACCTATTCCCCGCCTCCATTTGCCTCGCGTTGCATTACGTTGCGGCATCCTCTTTGCACTTGAACCATTGTCCTTAGCCCCTTAAAGGCGACGTCGAACTGCCAAACAGCTGCTATCCCTTTCGCACTCGGCTTTTGCTTCTTGGCAATAGTTTTTTTTTGTTAGTTTCTTTTTTTATTTAAATTTGTTTTTACTTTTGCAATTTGTTGTATTTTTTTTTGTCTTAAAAATATTGCAACGCGTGCGCAGTTTTAAATTTTCCACGAGAGTTTTTTGTTTTTAATTTAATTATTTTTATTGTTGTTTATGTGCACTTGCATAAGTTTGTATTTGTTTATTTATGTGCAATTGCATTTTTGTGGCTGTATTTTAAGTTCTTTGGAAACGGATGAGTAATTTATTTATGTGTGTGGTATATGGTAAATGGTATATATAGAATTGTCGTCTGTATCCCCCCAGTGCATTTACTATGTATATATGTATCTGTGCTTATAATGCAGCAATTCAAGGTCATTTGCAAGCCAGGTATGCACGAAATATTTTGTCCATGACTCAGCGTCAAATAAATAAATAAATAAATCAAGCAAATAGAAAGGCAAAACCTGAAGAAAAACCAAAAATATCTTTAAAATAAAACTTAATTGTTTAACAAAAAAAGGATATATATGTATGTATATTGTTAAACGCGGAAAAGCAGCTGTCAATACAGCAACTTAATCTCTTTTGTATAAATTAAATATATATTTTTTTCTTTCATTTATTATTATCAGCGTTGAGTGCATTCAACTGCCGTTGGAGCATGACGCGCATATTAAATTTGAGTGTGTACACACTGATATATATATATATATATATAAATATATATATGTATATAGATTTAAGTATATGCATATTTAAATAAAAATATATTATTAAATATAAGACATAAGTGAAATAAATATATACTTATATCGAGCTACACACAAACACACTTGGTTATAAATAAATTAAACAAAGTCTCTTGTTTTATTTTGTGCCTTTGCTGAAAATTGAATTTTCCTGCATTTTCTATATTTTTAGAATAATTTCTCAAGTTTTGCCTCTATATTCAATTTTTTTGCCGTCTTTTTGCACCCAAGCAACGAACAAAGCGCACCAACACAAGCGCACAAGTGCACAGTACGAGTGAACTTATTGCAATGGTGTGCGTGTGCATGTGCATGCGCAGTGCAAGCATGACGGTGACGGCGGCAGCAGCGTCGACGTTAACAATTCTGGTACTGTTGTTGTTGCTGTTGCTTTTTCATTGCTGACGCTTTCTTGTTCTTGTTGTTGTTGTTGTTAGGGCTGCTTTGCTGCTTTTTGTATTGCGTCTGTTTTACTTATTCGCTTGCCTAGCTGCACTTGAGTGAGTGAGCGAGTCAATGTGTGTGTGTGTGTTAGTGAGAGGCGTTTGTGTATTTGTGTGACTTCATTTCCTTTGTCGTAGGTCATCGTCAATGCGGAAAAATGCGTTTTACAGCTCTGAAATCTGTCCGATTTTTACCGTTTAACAATTGTTTTATTCATTTTTGGTAATACAGTTTAGTTTTCAATTATATTTGTTAAATGTTTCAAAATTATTTAAAATAATTTTAGTGTTTTAATTATTTTCTTTAATTTATTATTTTTGTATTTAACACTAACTTTTGTGGTATTTATTTTGGTAAAATGTCGTTTCAAATACATTTTCTTTTTAGTCACTTGTTAAATGCATTTTGTGCCGTTGCCGTTGCCGTACATTTCAAAGTCGCGCTCCACACTGACAAAAGGGTAGAGAACTTTTTCTCCAACGTTTGGCCAGAGTTGCCATATTTTGCAGTAAAAAAGCCGATGCCGATCAAAGTCAACGCGTCGCCGTCGGCCGCTTCGTGCAATTGCAAAAGCACAGACCCCAAAACGAGGAGGAGACGCCAACGCAGGCAGTAGGCAGCAAACAGCAAGCAGCAGCGGCGGCGACCAGCAAAAATGGTAATAAAAGCAAATGAATCGCACCAAGTGCATCCACACACACTCACACAGGGAACAATCAGACAATTACACACACACACATACGCTCGCGAGCGCTGAGGCGAAATGAGTTGGGAAAGGGGAAGCTTCGAAGTGCCGGCCGCTTATGCGTGGCAAATTTGTTTGTTTGTGTGTGTATTGCAATTTTCATCTGTCTACTCACTCACGCCCCTACACTGACTCGCTTTCTCATACGTTCTGTGTGCTCTCTCTCATGCAAACGTAATTGTTGTAATGCAGCGACGGTCTTTGTGTGTGAGTGAGTGTTATTATGCGAATGTGTGTAACAATCGAATACAACAAATTTAATCATCTGCGGAAGGTGACGGCGACAGCGGCAGCGACAGCGACGTCGACGATGGGATGCTTACCAGTGTTGAAAAATACGCCGCCCACACGGCACGATCATAAAAGTACAACGCACCTGCAATGCAAATTGATGAAGAAAAGAGAGCTCACAACAAACAAAGACAACCAACAATAGCAGGAGCAGCGAATACAATAATAATAATAATAACACCAACAACAACGACGACGGGCAATAGCCCTACGGCAATGTAACGGACGGCGCGGTGACGTCGCGAAAAACCGCAAAAAACCGTGAAACAAGAAATTATGCGCAAACCGCGAGCACTTGAACGTTACCAACACGCAAAAATTGTAAATGCACAAACACAAACACCAGCACAAGTACAGGAACTGAAGTATGTGTGTAAGTAAACTGTGCAGTCAATGCGACGCAAATGTAAGTGGGAAGAACAAGCAGAGAGCGAAAAGCGCAAGCGACCGCGATGTGCAACGAATCTTTTGCAAATGAATGCAACCAGCGACGCTGGCGACAAAAGAATGCTGCATAATGGGCAAAATTGTTGAATAACAGCTTTAAAAATTTTACATGAATTGTTACGAAATTCAACACGTTTCGTATTAAGCGCAACGTCTCTTATTTTCTGTTAACTTTCAATTTTTAATATAATCTTAAAACAGAGACGGACACGAGCTTCTAAATAAATTCAGCTTGAAAGATTGTCTGCCTACTCCACTGTGCGCTGCAGTGATGGAATGACTCGGCATGCAAAAAGAAAAACACTGAATTGCTCTTTGCTGACAACTCTGCAAAGCAAAGAGAGCGACACATTTATTTGCTCTTAAAATATATCTCTTTTTAAGATTCTATGAAATTTCCCCTTCAAAGAACAAAAAAGCTTTGCTTGAACAAAAATAATTTAAAAATGATTAGTATTATTATCATTTTAATATTATAAAATAACATTTAATTTATATAATTTTAATGAGCTACTGTCTTTCACTGTTACAATAAATATTTTGTTAGATATTCTACCGAAATGATTTTATCCCTAGTTAACAACGTATTTAATTCAAATATTTATAATTTGGGGGTTTCTGTTTAGCCTTAACAGCATTCTGTTAGTCATGTATGTTCCCCGTTAACAGATGAAGCTTTTCTGGTTTTAGCTCACTTTTGCGTCTAACGTGCTCATCTTCCACTTTAGGTATTCCACATTTTAGATTGAGGGTCACACTGTTATATCGTTGGGGTGCGCGCTGCCTTGCAATTGTCCCTAAAATTGTTTTTTTGTTGCTGAAACACACAAATAGTTTATAATGGCATCTATACTACGCACGGGTAAACTGTTGCGTTACTTTGCAGGCTTTACGCGCAACGTTGTGGTCAACTCGGTGCGTGACTGCGAAAACACCAATCTCCTACAATCGTCGCCTTGCATGTGCGGACAATTCCAGAAGTAAGTTTCGAAGTTTCTGCCCGGCATTACGCAATGCATGCGGGTATTTGTGTAAGTCCATCTTTAAATATGACATCACTTGTTGCACTATTATAAATGCCCAATCTCATCATTCAGTCAAGTGTAATTACTTAATGATTTCTGTGAGAAATTGTATTAAAATGTTTGGCCAGGTTTACATAACCTCAAATTAAGAATCATGTTGGAGCACCACAGATTAGAAGAAACTTTAAATTAAATTATTTTTGTTAATTTTCTTAACAGTGGATTTGCAAGCAATGCTGCCGCCACCAAGGCGGAGGTGACTCTGGATAGACAGATTCGTCGTTTGGATCAGGATGCGCGTCGCATCGGCCGCATCTCCAGGCGGGATTTGGAAGAAGTGTTAGATGAGATACGCACACATCGCACTGCGACCAGCTCACAGTCGCTGCTGGTCATACGCTGCTGTGGCAACCTGGTGCCCGAGGAGCTTCCCGAAGTGCGCACCGCCCTTGTGCAGGAGATCTGGAAGACGCTAAACGCTCTGAATGTGCCAATGGATATATCACACTACAACGCTCTGCTGCGTGTGTATCTGGAGAACGAACATCAGTTTGCGCCCACCGACTTCCTAGCCGAAATCGAGGCCAAGGGCATCGAGCCCAACAGGGTTACCTATCAGCGTCTGATTGCGCGCTATTGCCAGCAAGGCGACATTGAAGGAGCTACACGCATCCTCGAGTATATGCGCGGCAAGAGTTTGCCAGTGAACGAAAATGTCTTCAATTCACTCATTCTGGGACACTCACAGGTAAGTCCACTAGCTTTTCCCCGCAGCTAATCGCATATAATTATTCCTTATATATGTTAGGCCAACGATATGGAGTCCGCCAAGGGTATTCTGGGCGTGATGAAGCAAGCCGGCTTGGAGCCCAGTGCCGAGACCTATACGACGCTTATGTGCGCCTTTGCACGCCACGGCGATATCGAAGCGTTGCAGTCTACGCTCGCTGAGTGCGAGTCGAAAGAGATCATCTTGCTGGACAAGGATTTGCTAGATATTGCTTACACGCTGTCGGTGAATGGAAATGGCGAGCATGTGGACAAAGTGCTGACCAAGCTACGCATATCGCCCGGCTTCAATCAGGATGCTGTTAATATTATATTGCGCCTGGTTAACAAGGGCCACGAGGATGTGGCTTTGAAGTTGCTCCGGTTGATGCCGCGCAGCACGCGCGTCAATGGTGAACCCGTCGATGTGGGCGCGTTTTTTATACGTCAGTTGGTTAAGGCTAACCGTCCAATTGAGAAGATCTTGAGCATTTGTCGCACTCTACAAGAGGAGGGTCTCAATCCCAAGGCTCTGACCATTGCAACTGAGGCTGGTCTCACGAATGGTGTAATGAACAATGCGCTACCACTGCTGCAAGAGATGAAGAATTTGGGTTTGCCCATACGACAGCATTATTTCTGGCCATTGTTTTGCTCCGTGGAGTCCAATCAGGTGTTGGAAGTGGTGCGTCGCATGCAGCAGGAGTTCTCATTGAATCCCAATTCGGAAACTGTGCGCGATTATGTCATTCCCAATCTGAAGGAGAAAAACTGGGATCGTGTAGTCACAGTGCTCCGGGATGCAGGTGTGCCAAATTCTACGGCTGTCACGTCCGCCGTCTATGCGGCTTTAACCACCCATCAGATATCGGAAGCTGCTAAGATTATGGAACAGAACCGTGTCTTCTATATGCCCCTCATCTTCCGTCAGCCACTCATCATAGCACTGGCTCAGACGAACGACTTTGCTTCCTTCATACGTTGCGTGCGTCAAATGCACGAAGGTTTGCAGTTACGCGCCGGCAGGGAGTCCACCGACGAGGCGGACCAAGTCGCTAGCGATGTGGAAACACCTGCACCGGTCGAACGTCAGACACCCGATGTAGTAGGCAACATTGTCTACGATGCGGCAATCTACTTCCGCCGTGAACGTGTGCCCACGCTGGAGAAGATATTGCAGGGCCTGGTCAAGCAGGGTCTGTCCATTAGCAGTGCCAAGGCGACAGCTCTGTCCGAGCTGCTCGGCTCTGAGATGACACCCAAGATCGCTGAGCAATTGGGCAAGCTTACTTCGGGTGAATTGGAGCCAATTCCATTGCCCAACAGCGGCAAACGAGCTCTGGACACTTTATCCATTGAAGGTAAGTAGCATAGATTGATAATTAAACTGATTGATTATAGCCTCGTCAAATGTTTATAGAATTGGAACGATTTATCAAGAACGTGGAGGCAAAGGGTGATAACGCGAATAACATCAAGCGACAGCTGTTGAGTGCTTGCTTCCGTTCGCAGAACCTGGAGAAAACATTGCAGGTGATCGAACGGCTTGAGCAGGACACATTCCAGATACCAATTGGCATCTATGCACAGCTCGTTGATTTGTATACCTTTCACAAGCGCAGCTCGGACGCCTTGACGCAGTACAACAAGCTGCGCACAGCGGATGCCAACTTCAAGCTGGACAACTTTAAGACCGTGAGGCTAGTGGATTTGCTGCTGCAAGAGGAACGTATGGAGGAGGCTTTGCAGTTGCTCAAGGAGAATCAAAAGGATGTGCCCCTCGGTGAAGGCGAGGCCAGTTTCAACTATGTGAGCACTCTGTGGCGCATACTCAATACAATCGCTGAGTCGGGCAATGCGGAGAGGCTGAAGGTTGTCTTCGATGCCCTCGTAGCGGGCAATTATGCGCTGCCCAATAATGTGCTGCTGGGTCCATTGATTAAGGTGCATTTGTCTCGTGATGATATACCTAAGGCAATTGATGCCTTCGAACAGATTTGTCAGCAGTACAAAGCTACGCCGTGGAAGAACGAACTCGCCTGCCGGCTCATCCAAAAGGAGGATGCAGCTAATTTACAACGACTCACAGATCTAAGCACCAGCATACACGGCGAGGTGAACAGCCTGTACGATCTGGTATTCTCCTTTGTGGAATGCGGACGTGTGCGTCAAGCAAGAAAGATTTTGGAGACACCTGGTCTGCGCACCAGGCCACAACGCATTAGCAACGCCTGCGATCGTTACAAGAACGAGGGCATGCTGCAGCCCCTCGAAGGTCTAATTGAGGCAACCAAGGATTTGGGTCACATTGATCGCAACAAGATCTACTATACGCTGCTACTGAGCTACGACAAGGCGGATGAGGCTGAAAAGGCGCTCGGACTGTGGACTAAGATGCAAGAGGAGGCTGTCACGCCCACAGATGCATTCCTGCTCAAGTTAGCGGAGCTGCTGAAGCGCAAGAATGTTGATGTGCCTTTCGTGGTGCCCGAATCGCAGCAGATGAAGAGCAGACGCAAAAAGCCAGCTAAGGCAGATACCAAGATCGAAGCTAATGTAGAAGAGGCAGTGCAGTCTACTGCAGAGACAAAGGTGGAACCTAAAGCTAAGTCTGTACCAGCAGTCAAGCCGCTCTCCAACGTAGCCGGCTTTCGTCGTGCTGTTCAGGCCAATGATCTCGATAGCGCAATTTCCTTCAAGGACCGTATCATAAGCGGTGACAGGATCAATGTGCTAGATATATCGAGACTGATCGAGCTGCTGGTGCGCGCCGAGCGTTTGACCGAAGCCACTAAGTATGTGGATGAGCTGCTCAGTGAAAAGCAGCATCCGCAACCAAAGATCTTTAAGTTCTATTTGAACAAAATTGCTGCTACCGGCGATTTGGAGGTGATGCAACGCATCGGCACACAGCTGAACGATGAACAGAAGCGTCTCGTATCCTTTGATAATCGTTATTGCCACGCCTACATTGTGGCCGGCAAGGCAGAGCAGTTCCTCAAGCAGTTGAGCACAGACATCGAAGCAGTAAAGTCGACAGAGGAGGCAGGCAAATTGGCTGAAAAGTTTCCACGCGGCGGCGCAGTCGGCATCCTGGACAAACATCCCGAACTGATTGCTCAGTGTAAGTAGATACTTATTTTCTATATAAACTGTAAATAATGTATATTCCTTTACTAGACGAGACCATGGCTGAGAAATACGCCGCCCACAATCAGCTGGGCCCCATGAACGTGCTGTGGATGCATTTGATATCGAACGGCCAGGAGGTGGCCTCCAAGCAGATCTGGGACAAACATTTATCCAGTGCGCCTCGCTTGATGTTCCAGCGTGTGCTGCAAACAGCACGCGAGCAGCAGGACGAGAAGCTGGCCTCCACGGTCATTTCACAGCTGCGCGGCAGCAAAATCAGCGAAGGCGCCATCGGCAATGCCTACTCCTGTTTAATAGACATACAGACGACCAAGGGCAATACTGATAAGGCGCTGGAGGTGCTCGCCAATGCCATCAAAGATGTATCGCTCGAGAATATCAATCGCACCGCACTTCTGCGCCTCAAACAGTCCGTCGAGGAGAAGTCCCAGAAGTTCCCATATACAGTGCCTGAAAAACGTACTAAAGCGGACGATTCTAGCTCCTCCAGCAGCAGCAGCGATGACGATGTGACGCCCAAACGACCAGAAACATCGCCAACAAAGCCGGAACGTGCTTAGATGGCATATAAAAATCTTATCCCTTTGTTAGTATAATCCTAATCTTATCGTCTATCTAGTATGTATTGACCAGGCTACGAGAATTCTAACCAAAATATATAGGTATATTAATGTTTTTGTTGCAATGCAGCCAAACTTTTTAATTTTATCGCACATGATTTTCATCACATTTTAAAAAAACATCACCTATCGTTTAATGTCGATTTGTGTCGGTTGATAGCCCGCCATTTGCCCTGGCCCTTGCCACAGCCGTTATTGGCGCCACACGGACTGACGCATCCTGCATGAGCGGCTCACGAGTACGGCTGCGTGCGCGGATTGTCTTGGGTAATATCGAGTGGGGCGTGCCATGTTGAATCTTTGACGTATTTATCAAATCCTTGGCCAAAGTCTGATAGTTTCGCTTCAACATGGCATCGTAGCCGTCCGGCATTTTATTGAAGTTGGCTTCGAAGAACAAGCGGAACCATACGGCGAATTCGTAATTGTCCTGAAATTTACCCTTGACCAACTTATAGATTGGTATACTCTTATCGACTTTATACTTGTTGAAGCACTGCTGTAATAGTATAAAATTGCTGATGTAGTCATTCTCCATGTAGCACTTAAATTTCACTTTGCTAAAATTAACACTGTCTGGCACGAGGATATCCATTAGGCAACAATATGCAGCCCCAGTACACAGATCGTCGATCTTTTGGATATTGCTGCTTAAGCACTTATTGCACCAGCTCAAGATTGCCTGGCGGGACCAGGTCGGTTTCGTATTATTTGTCGAGATTACATTGACCAGACGATTCAATGCCATGTCTATAGAAACGTAAAAAATATGAGAAATGAAAAAAGCAATTATTTTGGATGAACTTCTTCCCACTTACCATTTAAGTGCCTCCGAAGAGGCCGTACACTTCCTATGTATTTTACAAAAATTTAGTTGATATAAAAATTTTACATGTAATAATTTCCGAAAAGTTCAAAAATACTTAATTATATGAGATATATGTGAATTATATTTGTAAATATGTAGAGTTCGTTTTATCTTCTACGCTCGACTTAATCAAAATATAAACTGAAGCTACTAATTTTTTTTAATATTGAATCAACCTTAATTTGGCTATGTTTCCAACGACTACTGTATAATTAAGATAGTTTCATATTCTTCTGTCTTTTCAAATAGGTTTGCGCCAAAAGAAACCTCTTACTTATCGAGCAGCCGCCACAATTTCGCTTATCGATAAATATTCGAAAAGTGCAACACAGACATTTTTAAGGGTTGCCATATAGCGCATAATCCCGACCGCTGACCAAGCGGCCGCGTTTGCCAACGTTTAGCTGTAAAAATTTTCAACAGCGAATTTAGACAAGTTACGCGTTATAATTGTGCATTCAGTATCAAGGATGCCCAACAGTGATGCCGATAGTGACGGGAGCGATAGCTCCAGTCACAGCAACAGCAGCAGCAGTGGTTCAACCAGCAGCGCCGGCAGCGCCAGCAACAGCAGCAGCAGCAGCGACGGCAGCAACGCTGGCAGCAGCATCAAGCGACCAAGTGAGAATGAAGAAGACGTGGATGAAGCGAAAAAGCGAACAACTGTCAAAGGATCGTCGTCCAAGGATAAAGTGAAGTCAAATGATAAGGAAGAAGAAGCTGAGCAGTCTGTTGACAACAATATAAAGTTAGCTGACACGTCTGAGCTGAAAGAAGAAGAGAGTGCAGCAGCAACTGAGCCGGAAAAACCTGTAGAGGCAGAAACAACAGTTACTACAACAGATCCAGTAGAGGAGAAGCAACAAGCCAAGTTGGCAAGTGAAAAGCCAGAGCAGGAGGAGAAGGAGAGGCAGGAGGAGGACAAGAAACAATTGCAAACTGTTACAAGCAATGGGAATGGAGCAAGCAAAGAGCCTTCTGCTCCAAGCAGTTCTCCCAATGTGGAGGAGGGTGAAATTACCGATGTAAGTTGCCAACGATAACGCCAAATCTGCTATATACTAATGAGATCTTTTCTTGCAGAAAGAGGATGATATTCAACCCGTGGAAGCTACAGACGTTGTGGCTACTAATAACAACTTAACTAAGCATCAAGAGCCGCAACTAAAGTCAGCCATTGGCCAGGCACCACCCCGACAGCCGCCTCAAATAGCCAGCCAAGTGCGCAAGCGCAGTCACAGCCGAAGCCGAGCGGAAGAAGAGGAGGATAAGCAGCGACGAAAACGACGACAAGTGTCCCACAGTCGCAGTCGTAGTCGAAGTACTAGTCCTTCACGTCGCCAACGACGCCGACGCACGCGCACACGTAGTCCGCGCAGTCGGAGCGTGAGTCCAGTTCGACGAAGCTCCAGTTCTTTGGAACGGAGGCGTGCAGAGCGGCAGAAGCGGCACGAGGAGCGTGACAAGCGCGATGAGGAGCGTGCACGAGAGCGGGAGAAGCGACATCAGCATCGACGGCACGATGAGCCGTCGTCTGCAGTAGCAGCTAAGCCCAGCTCACCTGCTGAGAATGCGGATAATGCCACCGTCAGCGAACCAACGGCCAAGATTAGTGAACGACAGCGACGCACCGTCGATTTGCTAACCTCTCGCACTGGCGGCGCCTATATACCGCCCGCCAAGCTGCGTCTGATGCAGGCCGAGATCACAGACAAAGCCTCGGCGGCGTATCAGCGCATAGCCTGGGAGGCGCTCAAGAAATCCATCCACGGCTACATCAACAAGGTCAACGTCACGAACATCGCAATCATCACGAGGGAACTATTACGCGAAAATATTGTGCGAGGTCGTGGCTTGCTTTGCCGTAGCATCATTCAGGCGCAGGCAGCGTCTCCCACGTTCACGCACGTCTATGCGGCTCTGGTGGCCATCATCAACTCCAAGTTTCCGAATATTGGAGAGCTTCTGCTCAAGCGTTTGGTCATACAGTTTCGACGGGCCTTTCGACGCAACGATAAAATGGTTTGCATGTCGGCGACTCGTTTCATTGGACATTTGGTCAATCAGCGGGTGGCACATGAGATTTTGGCTTTGGAAATGTTGACGCTGCTCGTGGAGATGCCCACCGATGACTCCGTTGAGGTGGCCATAGCTTTTTTGAAAGAATGCGGCATGAAACTGACGGAGGTCTCCTCCAAAGGCATTGGCGCCATTTTCGAAATGCTGCGCAACATTCTGCACGAGGGCAAACTGGACAGACGAGTGCAGTACATGATCGAGGTGCTCTTTCAGGTGCGTAAGGATGGCTTCAAGGATCATCCGGCCATTGTGGATGATCTCGAGCTAGTGGAGGAGGATGATCAATTTACGCATCTCATGATGCTGGACGAGGCCACCGAAACCGAGGATATCCTAAGTGAGTGCTCCAAAGAAACTATATTCTAAGAATCGACTAATTTCCCAATTTTTTCTGCAGATGTCTTTAAATTTGATGACAACTATGCGGAGAACGAAGAGAAGTATAAGGCGCTGAGCTGCGAGATATTGGGCAGCGATGCCAGTGGCTCGGGCTCTGGCTCCTCCGGCTCTGGATCGGATTCGGACAGTGATTCGGACGGCGAATCAGGCTCGGGCAAGGACGCAGATGGCGAAAAGGCCAACGCCGGCGATATTATTGACAATACAGAAACGAATCTGATTGCATTGCGTCGCACTATCTACTTGACCATCAATTCGAGCTTGGACTATGAGGAGTGCGCGCACAAGCTGATGAAGATGCAGCTGAAGCCTGGCCAGGAGGTGGAGCTGTGTCACATGTTTCTCGACTGTTGCGCCGAGCAGCGCACCTACGAGAAATTCTATGGACTGCTGGCGCAGCGCTTTTGTAGCATCAACAAGATCTATATACCGCCGTTCGAGGAGATCTTCAAGGACACGTATCAGACGACGCATCGGCTGGACACGAATCGTTTGCGCAATGTTAGCAAATTCTTTGCCCATCTGCTCTTCACGGACGCCATCAGTTGGGATGTGCTGGAGTGCATACAGCTGAACGAGGATGATACGACCTCATCGAGTCGCATTTTCATCAAGATATTATTCCAGGAGCTGGCCGAATATATGGGCCTGGGCAAGCTGAATGCGAAGCTCAAAGAGGATGTGCTGCTGGACAGCTTGGCGGGTCTGTTCCCCAAGGATAATCCGCGTAACACACGTTTCTCCATCAATTTCTTCACCTCCATCGGCTTGGGCGGTTTGACGGACGATTTGCGTCGGTTCTTGAAGAATGCGCCCAAGACAGTGCCGGCCATCAATGCCGAGCTTCTGGCCAGCGGTAATCCATTCAAGGATGCAACAGCCACGGGCGAAGCGGCTCCAGCTACCAGCTCGTCCTCCTCCTCCTCCAGCAGCAGCAGCAGCAGCAACTCCTCCAGCAGCAGCGAGGACAACACCAGCGACGAGGACAGCGACAGCGAGTCCAGCTCCAGTTCCGAGTCCAGTGAGCCGACGCGCAAGCGCAAGCACAAAGAGAAAAGCGTAAAGAAAAAGAAAAATTCTAAAAAGCAAAGCAAGACCAAAAAGTCGAAGGACAAGGAGAAGGAGAAGGAGAAAAAGAGGTCCGAAAAGGTCAAGAAAGACAAGAAAAAGCAGAAGAAAAAGTCAGCTGAAAAGAAAGCAAAACGCAAGCGCAAACACGCAGAGAGCAGCAGCTCCAGCAGCAGCGCTGCCAGCGGCAATGAGAGCGACAGCAGCTCCTCCTCTGCCGCATCCTCTAGCAGCAGCGACAGCGATGCCGCCGAACCGCAGGCCAAAATCCAACGCAACGATAACAACAACAGCAGCAACAGCAAATCAAAGCCAACTAGGTTAGCATCTCGGAGCAAGCAACGGGATAGCGACGATTTCAATCTGGAGGGACCCAACGCTTCGCCGCCAGCGCGTCAACAGCAGCACAACGGACATGGACAAGGCCATGGCAGGCGAGAAGCATCCCCGGCGAGGGAACGAGAGCGAGAACGTGAAAGGGACAGAGAACGTGACCGTCGGGGTAGGCGTGCCGAAGAGGAAAGCCGCAGCGCCAAAAGACCGCGAGACGGTGAACGGGAGCGAGGACGCGACAAGGAGAGGGAACGTGACAGGGATAGGGAGAGGGAGAGGGAGAGGGAGCGGCAGCGGGAAAGAGAAAGGGATCGTGAGCGTGAGCGTGACAGGGATCGAGAGCGGGAACGTGACCGTGACCGTGAACGTGAACGTGAACGCGATCGTGATGCGAGGCATTCTCGCAGGGAGCGAGAGCGACGCGATTCACCCAGACGCCAACATCATAGACGCAGCGTGTCCAAGGAGCGCGGCTGAAGAGCAGCACCAGCAACAGCCAGGCAGCTCCTCGATGCATTTCCCATCTAATCTAATGTCGAAACAGTGTACAAAGAAACGATCTAAGCCCAGCAGCAACAATTGTAAATGTACAAAATATATCAAAAAGCAAGAAAAAATCCGGAGTATTATTTAATTTAAATAAATAGGCTGGAGGGAATATCTATATATGTCTAAAATAGATCATGATTTCCAATATTTTTGGCTTATCAAAAGTTAAGTAATATTTTTTGTTTATTTACAAATTTAAGTTAAAAACTTTCTTATGCATGTCTCGCAGCAAATTCGTAATAACTGTCGATCTGCTGCTGGTCGAGGGAGGACTTTTGCCTGGCCAAAACCGTTTCGAAATCGCGCAGCTGAATGTGGCTGGCATTGAAGTCGCGCTGGAAGGCCTCAATGGCTGCTTCATTGCACAGATTGCACAAATCCGCGCCAGAGTAGTTGCTGGTGCGTGAGGCGATCTCCTCTAGCTGCACGTTGTCATGGAACGGCATGCGTTGTGCGTGCAGCTGCAGCACAGCCAGACGTGAGGGCAAATCCGGCGCTGGAATATGGATGAGCTTGTCAAAGCGTCCGGGACGCAGCAGCGCATCGTCCACCATGTCCGGGCGATTGGTGGCGGCCACGACGAGAATGTGCTGCAGACTGTCGCCGCCGCTGACAATGCCGTCCATTTCGGTGAGCAGCGTCGAGAGGATGCGTAGCTGGACACTGCCGCCTCCTGAGCCATTGGCAACTGTGCGCCGGCCGACGAGCGAGTCAATCTCGTCCAGAAATATGAGGCAGGGCGCATTCTTGCGAGCTGTGTTAAAGATTTGCGTAATGAAGCGCTCCGCACAGCCCACATATGGCGAGTAGACCTCCGCCGCCGAGCTGGCTATGAAGGTCATGTTCGCCTCCTTGGCCAGGCACTTGGCAATGCTCGTCTTAGCGCAGCCAGGCGGGCCATAGAGCAGCAAGCCCTTCGGCAGGCTTAGGCCAAAGCGTGCATGCGCCTCGCTGTGCTGGAGAGCTGCCAAGACGGAGACCTGCAGCGTGCGCTTAAGCGCAGCCATGCCGCCAATTGACTCGAAGCCTGTAGAGAGCTTCAGAACTCTCACATCCGTAGCTCTCGAAGCGCTCGGCTGGCACTGCAGGAGGCAATTCCTTAGCAAAGAATCGAACTGATTTGGCGTGGGCAGTAGGCTGAGCATCTTCTGCTGCAGTTGACGCAACAGAAGTGTTAAGTCAGCTATAACATAGCCCTGCGTCTGCTGTGCCACATAGTCGAGCAGTGCTGGAGTAAGCAGCTCCAAGTGCTGCTGCTCCTGATTCTCCTCGAGCTGCTGCTGCCACAGTCCAGCAAACAGTTGACGACGTTGCTGTTCCGTGGGCATATCGATGCTGATCTCATAGCCGAAGCGACCAGCGCGACGTGCATGCGGATGCACTGCATTGGGCGAGCTGCTGCTAGCCAGGCACAAGATTCCACTACCGCGCTGTGGCAGCTCATCGATGAGCTTGTAGAGCTGTGCCGTTATGCGCATGGCATTGCCCGAGTTCCGTGCATCAGAGGAGCTTGTTGCGGGGCACAGCAACTCGAGATCCTCCAGCAACATGACAATCGGCTGCTTGGGATGCAGCAGCTGCTGAAAGGAGTGAGCGGAGTGGAAGATGCGCCGCAGTTCCGTTTCCGTTTCGCCGGGCTGTGAGCGCAGGACTTGGGAGGCGGTTATATTGAAGCAATTGCAGTTGTGTCGATGTAGAAACTCTGCTAGCAGGCAGCTCTTCCCAGATCCGACGGCGCCGACTAAAAGTGCATTTAGAGGCAATCCTTTAAATTGTGGTCTTCTGATACTTTGCAGCAGCTGCTCCAGCGCCTGTAAGGGCTCCTCAAAACCGTGCGGCTGAAAACGTTTGATGCGTGGCAAGGTGGTTGCCGCGGGCAGACGTACGTCGAAGATCTCTAGCGTCGTCAACTCGAAGCAGCTGTTGGATGCCAAATCTGTGCCCTGTACATCGCATATTTCAATGCTAGCTATGCCCAGTTTCAGAAGTCGCGCATGTTGTACAAAGCAACCTTTCATCAGCTTCAGGTGGCGCAGAAAGGTGGCTACATCTTGATGCAGTTGCTCTAAAGAGATTTGCGCTCGTTGAAGTAGCTGCTCGGTAATGTTAACATTGCAGACCACTCGTTCAACATTGGTTGTTGGCGCTAAGGGCTCTAGGCAGCATACACGTTGCTTTTTGGCTACGAATCCTGCCGATGCAACCACATCATCCACAAAGCAACTTTTTTCAGCTCCAGCGCGCTGTTCCACATGACAAATGGTGTAGCTGCCATCCTCAAGCACACATTTGCACCAAGTGCCATTGATGGTTATAACGCCATCTTCCTGGTAGGGTATATAACAACGTTGTAGCTCTAATTCACTTTTGTCCAGCAAATTTATTGGCAAGATCATCCAATTGGAGCACATGCCGTAAAGCAAAACGTAAACATGTGGGGAAATCATAAAACTCACCTCTTGGCGCCATTTAAGCAAATTTACCACTGCAAAAATATTTAGACTTATTAATGCTATTAAGTTGATTTAAATATCATTCACAAATAAATTATATTATTTGTATTAACTGTATCGTGCTACGAATATTTATGTATGAAACATATACGGAATTTTATCCAAAGCGCTTCAAAAAAAGATCTCTTATTACACAACAGTTGAGCTGACTGAACGCAGCGCTATTATTAGAGACGATTGCCTAAAAGCAACACTGAGTGCAATTGGTATTTAGTGGCAACGCTTTCTACCCAGAGTTGCTGGTAAATAAAATTTTCTAGCTGGCAACTCCCTTTTCGCACAAGTGTCGCCTGGCGTGAACACGCGGATTTTACTTCGTGGATTTTTCAATTGTTAAATAAGGTAAATATGCTTGCCATCCAACTATTAATGTATGCCACAATGGCTAACGATTGCCAATTGAACACTATGCAGCTGCCGAGATGACGAAGAAGCGCCGTAATGGTGGACGTAACAAGCACAATCGCGGCCATGTGAAGCCCGTGCGCTGCACCAACTGTGCCCGTTGTGTGCCCAAGGATAAGGCGATCAAGAAGTTTGTTATCCGCAACATTGTTGAGGCGGCTGCTGTGCGCGATATCAGCGAGGCCAGCATCTGGGACACCTATGTGCTGCCCAAACTCTACGCGAAGCTCCATTACTGCGTGTCCTGCGCAATCCACTCCAAGGTGGTGCGCAATCGTTCCCGTGAGGCACGTCGCATTCGTACACCACCAGTACGTTCCTTCCCCAAGGATATGCCACGTAACAACCAGAATAGGAAGTAAATTCATTAGAAAAGGCGGCTTGCTTATAAACAGAGACAACCTGAATAACAACAATCCACACACACTATTGTAAACGCTAGCTACGATTCTTGGATAAACGACACGTCTCGGATTCTGTTCGGCGTGGCCAAATATAAGCATTCGGTTTTTTAAACATATCAAGGATTCGTTTTTGGGAGCGGGCTGCATCTGATTTTGATCTCAGTGCTCGTTGGCGTGGAAATGTCGCTTGGCTTTAGGAGGTGGCGGGCTTTTTGAGCATTCCAGGTGCTTCCGGTTGCCCGGCGGCTACAGATGCCGGATACGTTATGCATTTAGTCGTGTGTGATATCTCATTTCCGGATGCGCCTGCCGTCATTTTTGCCAAGCTATAAATATAGCTGCACAGTGGGCTTACGCACATACAGTTGAACCGGCATACACTTTGAGGTTAGGTGACTTAAGTTAAAAATAAATGTATTTACAATTTGTCTACAGCAATAGGAAGCTCAGCAACACAAAAGCCATAAAAATTAAAAGCAAACACACATTCCCACGCACAAACACACGGCTACAAACAGTAAGCGATGTAATTTGTAATCTTTGTTTGCAAAGCGCCGCCCAGCGGCGGGTGGCTCACGCAAATGAAACCCACAATAAGTGTAGCATACCGTAAGCTGCCACAACTGTGGCATACTTTTAGGCGGCTGCTAAAAGAAAGCAACAAAGCAGCAGCAGTGAAGAAAAAAATGTATTGCATGCTGCTTTTTGGCATAAATTCTGCAGAAAACGTGAGCGCAAAGGCAAATGAGTCTGTGCTCCGTGTGCGTGTGTGTGTACAGGCGTACTTCCGCTTCCTGTTTACCCCTTTTAGCCCACTCTACATTTATTTTTCGCTTTTTGTGCTTGTGCAGCAGTTTGTTCTCCTTCTACACGCTAAATTATTGTTTTCGTTTTGCTTGGCAAATAAAACGTAGACATAAGCATCTGCCGTTGATCATTTAGCATAAATTACTGAGAGGGCGAGAAAGAGAGAGGAAGTGGAAGACGTAACAGCAAACGAATCCTAATGGAGGTTATGACAAGTGCTCTACAGTCGAATATAAATATAAATGCATATGTAGCCAAGTTTACTTCAACGAGCGCTTAAGCAATACATACGAAAAAACAATATTGCTTAAATATTCAGTATACCCCTTGGTTAATTCAAAGTCGTGTTGTGTGCTGGAAAGTGTAGACATTTATTTCAGATTTCAGGGGTTTCAAAGACAAACCATGATTAGTTTTTGACACATACAGCTTTGCTGTGCTCCAAATTGTGGCCAAACACGCCGCGCAGCTTGTCCTCTGTACAGCTGTGCGAATACACGTCACTGCCGAGATGGGACAGCGGCAGCTCCGCGTCGTGCCTGGCCGCCTGTATTGCCTTTTCCATTTCGTCATGGACGTTTTGATCGATGATGCGCAGCTGCTGCTCCGACAGTATACTAATGTCGAGGCACACCTTGCGGAAACGGCTGATGGGATCCTGACGCTGGCGCACCAGCTGCACCTCTTCGCGACTGCGATAGCTTGTGCCGGGATCGGACATGGAATGGCCCGCATAGCGATAGGTGCACAGCTCCATGATCAGTGGACCGCGTTGCTGGGCGTACTGTATGGCAAAACGGGCGGCACTGCGTACGGCCAGCACATCCTGACCATCTACCCAGACACCGGGCAGAAAGTCACCTCTGGTGTAATAGTCAGTATTGCTGGAGGCACGCCAAGCGCTAGTGCCCATGCCATAGTTGTTGTTCTCGCAGACAAAGACCATGGGCAGCTTCCATAGCTGCGCCATATTGAAGCACTCGAAGATCTGGCCCTGATTGGCTGCACCATCGCCATACAAAGCGAAGCAGACGCCGCCGGTCTCTCGATACTTATTGGCCAGTGCAATGCCCGCACCCAGCGACACCTGGGCGCCGACAATGCCATTGCCACCATAGAAGTTGGGCGCATACATGTGCATAGAGCCGCCCTTGCCTTGGGCGCAGCCGGTCGACTTGCCGGCCAGTTCGCTGAGCACACCCACAGCCGTGGCGCCCATTAGGTAGGCCAGCCCATGTATGCGATACCCGGCTACTAGATTATCTTCCTTGCGGAGAGCGGCGCAGAGGCCGACGGCGCAGGCCTCCTGTCCGGTGGACAGATGACAGAAGCCGCGCACCAAACGTTCCTTGTACAGCTGCGCAGATGCCGCCTCCAGACGTCGGATGGCCAACAGCTGCCTTAAATAGAGCGCTGCTTCCAGAGCGGTGAGAGCAACCAGCGTATCAGGTCCTAGCTCCAGCTTATGTAGCTTAAAGTCCATGGCTATGCGCACCAGGCGCACCTCCTGCACAACTGGCTTCTGCTCTGCAATGCTTGTTTCCGGCTGGCCCGGTGCCAATGGCCGCGGCAGCTTGGCAGCGGTGCAGCCGATGCAGCGTTGCAACATTCGACTCACCTGTTGCCGCATATGCGCGGATAAGAGTTTTAAAGCATCTCGATACATTCCGGGCATATTTTGCTTCTGGGCTTTTGACTTGGATTTTAAAATGAAATGTTGTACGTAGTATTACAATATGAAATATGAATAGAATCCTATGGAATCTTAATTTCAAAAAATTTTTGGTTCATCTCCAGAATTTATGAATTCACAAATTTATGCTCAATTTTACAAACGAACTGAATCCACTTTCATTTCATAATATACGATACAGCAAAAGAAATGATGATATATATATATATATATATATGTATATATATATATAGATATATAGATATATACATACAGATTTCATTCACATTGTGCCTTTAGCTAGAAAATTTTTTAAAATTCTTAATATATTGTCGAACTCATGTAATCTGCATTGGTATTTGAGAATTGAAATTACAGTCTAGTAAAAGAAATTTAAAATATTTTATCTTTAATATTTAATATCAAAATAATATTTACGAATATCTATCTGGGCTCTTCAATGTAATCCCCATTAGATATTATAAACTTGTGCCAAGGCTTTCCACAATTCTTCCATTATAACTGTATATATAAAACATCTTTTTAAACAAATATACGTTTCTCTGCTATTCAACTCTTCCGTATTCCATTCTATTTGATTAAAACTTGTGTAATAGTTAGAAAACTTCGTTTACTATTCGTAGTAAGTAAATTCATATATAAAAGTTATTTTTCTATTTCTATTTCTATCTGTTCCTTCGGCACACAGTTTCCACTATCTGTCGAGCACTTAAAATTCCGTATGTCATATATTATTTTAATTTCCGTTTTGTTCTGGCCATGCTGCGACGTTTCCAATACCTTCTCATATCATGAATGTATATATATATATATATTCTTTATTGTATCTATGCCATGGCCAGGACAAAGCACTTTCGCTGCCTTGTCCTGACCTCTGCCTCGCCACCACCCCCATCGCTACCGCTCACTCGAGTTGCGGCAACATTTTTGCCCATTTGAAGCGTAAATAAAAACGTTAAATGTTTTTTTAACGTGCGCCACTTAACACTCGGCACAATTTAAAGGCAATTGAGCACAACAACAATGGCCACAAAAATAAAAGGCCAATGCTGAAATATCTATATCAATGCCTATATATACGGCATATATATGATATATATGTAGACGTGCGACTTTTCTCCTTTTTTTTTATACTCTGAACACATAAAAATGGCCATGAAGGGTATCATAAAGTTGGCCTAATATATGTGTGAACTCTTAAGGGTATACCTAAACCTGCTTATTATCTAAATAAATATCTCCTTTGATCTGTATCAACTTTGCTCAAGTCGATTCACAATGTTTTCGTAATTGTTGTGTGGCTATACCCTGCAAATATGTGCAAGTTTAAATTGAGATTATTAGAGAGAAGCTAAATTGAAGTATGTTATATATTTTTATAAGAAAATCAAGAATTTTCCATAGTTTTTATGTTTGATCTTTAAAATTTTTCTGCAAATATGATTTGTTTTCAGATGGGGCATGTCCAATTTGTATATTTTTTTAATTTTAAACTGATTGATTGAACAACTCATATTTACGATAATACAGTTTAAGATCAGGAGACTTTTATACAACTCAATATGTTTATTCTTAATTTATATTTTTGTAATATTTTATAAAATTATAATTAATTTTTTTTTAATGTTTTGTAATTTTAAGCACTTCGAATACTTACAGGGCATAATCTAGTCGTGCATTCTAAACAATAAATTTTGACACGTTTTTTTTTGTTTTTATTATTATTATTTGACCATTTTGGTTGGCTGTCTCGTAATTTAATATAGATTTTTAGACCATGTTGGAGCTCATATTTTATGCCTTCGACAATAAATTGTCAATTGATTTTTGCGCTCATTTATTGTGCTTATGTTGCTGGCAATATATTTACTTACACACACACGAAAACATATTTATGTATAAATATATTTTATTTTTATTTCCTTTTTATATTCCTTTGTGTATTTTGTCAATGCCATTTTGTGTCGTGAAAAATGGGAAAAGATGTGAAAAATATGCTTGGACTCGGGTTGCCGCGAATCTTGTTAGGTGTTGTTCTTCAAACAGGAGGGTTGATGTGCGCTTGCCAAACAAATCATAAAAATATAATTTTTTATATTAGCACAGACAAAAGGCAAGGGGAGTAGGAGGAGGTGGGGGAGGGCCTCGTCAAATGACGTTGCTATCATTTCAATTATGTTGAAGGCTGTGCAGATTAAAATACAAATACATACCCATGTCTGTACGTATAAACAAATACATATAAATATTTATTCATTTTTTACTTTCGCAAGAAAGGTTGGGGCTGGCTTGTTGGAGGGGCGGGGCCACATGTTATGCCTTTAGCAATAATATTGTAATAAAAAAATTTGTTTGCATTGAAAGCAGAAGTGTAAAATATGCCGGCATTGTGGCTGTGCCACCATCGCCATAGAAAGTCGAGTTGAATGTTTATTTTGTGATTGATAAAAAAATACATGTTTGATTGTTGTTGCTGCGCTGTTATTGTAACTGCGGTGGCGGCTGCGGTTGTGGCTGTGGCCCCTTGTTAAAGGTGCACGGCTATTATTATGATGATTCATTTTTATACAGAGTATTTAAACTTTCTCACAAAAAGTGTAACCGCTACAAGAAGACATATATCAAATGTCAATATAGTCATCTCTTTCTCTTATATGCTAGCTTAAATAATGAATTGCTTTTGCTGCCATGCTTGATCTTTTCCCTACATACAGTGGGTCTGATTAGTATTTTTTTTATTCAATTCCATTTTGCTGTTCATAGCTAAGGAAAGTAACAAGTTCATCCACTGTCCAAACTTGGATACCGCTATTTATCTGGACTTTAGGTAGTCGTTGCAGCGCAAGCTTCGTTGGACGCCATTGGTCGCCATGGCATTGATCCCGTTAGAGACGGCCATTATGGATTTAGTGAGCGTAGCAACTGTGTGGAATGAGAGAAAGAGAGGCAGACAGAGAGAGTTGCCAAACAAGCACAGAACTACATGTATGCATATGATAATATGTCTAATATAATTTGAGATCTCATAAAATTAACATTTTTAATTACTTACAGGGTATTTTTCTTCAATGAATCGATTTTTTTCAAATATTTTTATGTTTGGCTGTTTATTATCAATGACAGCTGCGAGTTCCCATTGCGAATTTGTGTATATGTGTGTTTACTGTACTGGAATTGCTGTGCCCTTGGGTTATATCGTGGGCCATTGACTACGCGAATTGTGAGAAAAGAAACCGAAGAGGTGCTTTTATATACGTATATTTTTAATAGACTTTTAAGTTGATATCATGTCGAATGGAATGGTATTGCGAGGCAGGGAATTCAGCTCTTTTATGCCATTAAAAATAAAAAGATATTATTAGAGGCAAGCAGTTCTGTCTTACTTGCAAATGGATTACTCCAGTAACCTAATTGCTCAAATGTTAACAACATTTTTTAAATTTTGTTTTGCATAACAATTCTGATACCCTGAGCACTTAGCTGATAACTTTCTGTGACCTGCAAACAGGCAGAAATTGTTTGTGCTGCTGCAATTTATCAACGTTTGCATTCGATTTAAGGTATTTTGTTTGCATTCAACATTGTCACCTGTGAGAAAACTCATTTATCGCCCCAACGCAACTGGGAATCCATTCGTTATCATGTGGGCGTGCGCGCGCCCCTTTTTTCTGTCTCTGCTGCTGCCATCAATACAATTAAATTTCCATGCTGCTTGATTTTGAACGTTCGACGCATTTTAATTATTTTCATTGAGAATGCTTTATGAAATTCGAGTGCGCTTGAGTCCTTCAGCCGTGTTCACGTCCTGTAACTTTATGCTCCTGCCCATTTTGCTGGCTATACAGCGTCCCTCCAATCCCTACGCCCGGCTTCAGCTTGCTTTTATCTGGCAACTTCTTCCGCTGAGGCAAACGGAAGTGCAACAAAAAAAAAAACAGAAAAAAAATGAGAAGAAGGCACGAAAATGAATGTCATTCATTCATTCGCAGGCTAGCCCGTGTCCTGTGCGCATGCAATTAAGCCCAGGACTCAGCAACGTACTTGGACCTTGCCGCGCACTTGCATTCGATAGGACTCATAGTCCACCTGCGTGCTACTCCGGTCCAGTTAATTACAATCTACATTGTTTATCGGTGGGGCTTTGCCAATGGATTTCCCCTGCTCCTTTAAAGTATTTTTAAATATTTTATACGCAGTCCCTATGCCATTTTCCAGCTCAAAAACTCTGTTTGTAATTACATAAATTTCTTTTCTTATATGTTTGCTCTCTTCTACTTTTTTCGAAAACATTTCACTTTTAATTGTTTGAGGTTAATTAATAATGCAAGCAACTGACTGCAGAAGTTGCTGCAGTTGGGCCAAGTCCCTCGACACGGCCTTTCAACGACTTTACCTTGACCACATTAAGCTCAGGCAGCCAGACACATACACATATAAACATATACATATATATGTATAGATATATATATATGTATTTCTCTGCACTTTTAATGGACTGCAAAAGGACCGGCGGCTTGTTTGAAGTTCGCCTCGTTTATGCTAATGGGCCAACATTTTTATAGGCGCCGCTTTTATTATTGAAGTCTAGTCTGCTTCTGCGTCTTCTGCTGCATAACTCTTCATTAGCGCAGCGGTAATGCGTTTATGGTCTACACAGACACAATGCGGTCTTTGATAATGATGTTTCATAATTTAATTAACAGTCGAGCTTGCCAGCCAAATGGCTTGTTAAATGGTTCAGTTTTAAAGAGAGAGTGGGATGAAATGTGTGGGTGGGAGAGAGAGCGGGAGAAAGAGAATGAGAGCGGATAGATTGAAAGAGATAGAATTATAGAGAAAGAGAGATGGAAGGATAGAAAGAAAGAGTGAGAGCGAGAGAATAAAAGGGAACGAGAGAGATAGAGATCGATAGAGAAAGAGAGACAGAGAGAGAAGAATAGCGAGAGAATGACAGGCGAAGAATCCACAGAGGGAAAGAGAAAGAAAGAAAAGGAAAGAGAGAGAGAATAATGGAAAAGAATAAAGCCTTTAACATAAAGAATAAGGAACAGAATAAA